GACATGATGCGATCGGTCCCAGTCCTTGGAATTCCAAAGAGGCTAAGTTACCATACCGGTAAAGGTGCCTGACGATCGACACTGTACGTCACCTGCAGGGCAGTGCATCCTAGCCGACCAGCAACCTTGGATGATCTGGGACACGCAGTTTCACAACACTTCGGGGCTTACCACGGTGCATCTGGAGAGAGGCCCTGCATCACGGCTTGTCCATCTCGTAGGTTTGTGCCAAAGACCGTGTGCTCTGCGATCTACCGACGTCACGTGCGCACCTAGGCACTGTCAGAATCTGGACCGACGATTCCAGGCCACCCACGCACCACGCCCGGGTCGTTGCTTCCGATGCCGAACCGTGCCCACGATCCAGAACTGTCGGAGGGAGTGGAGATCATTACGTGTACTCGCGACATCGCGACGAGCTATAATATCGCAACCTCGTCGTTATTCCCAGCCCTAAGGTTTTCAGAACGACAAAGAATGGCAAACGTAGACACATGTCATACTAGGTGTCTGTTAAGGTTTTAAGTAGTAATGTTTAATATGTGTTCTATAAGAGAGCAAAGGCAGCTAAACTATAAGTACAAGTCCTGTAATACTATAGTTACTTATTTCTAGAAGTAGAAATTTTGCGCGCGCTACGCTTAACTTCTTTTTATTACTATAAATTTCTACTAATATTATTATATTTGCTATTTACTATAAATTAAATACCTTTTACCTTTTTAGCTTATTTTAGCTATAATAAGTTTAGTAACATAGTTATAGTTAAGAATAATCTTAGCTTATATTACTAATCTATATTAAGTATAATTTTCTAGTTAAGAGCGTAGTATAGCTAATACTAATTAAGTATTAAAGTAATTACTATTAAGCTAGTGCTTATATACGCTATAAGAGACACTATTTTATATTTCTTAAGTAATATTACTTTATTTATAGAGAAAGAAATAATAGCGCTTAAGACGCTCTTTTAATATACTATTAAAGCTCTTAATACTAAAGCTATAACTATTATTATTAGTTAATAACTATAGTTGCTAAATATTAATAATAGTTTAAGCTACTAAGATTACTAACTACTTAACTTATAAGCTAAAGAAGTAGTAAGATAGATAGAAAAATTTATAAATAAATAGTTAGAATATATAGAGAAAGATTTAGTAGATTATGCTATAGAGACTAAATAAATTAATTAGTGTATCTTAATGCCTAATACCTCTAAAATAATACTAGACACTGGGGGACACATGTTATACCTAGTTGTTGGGAGATGAAGTTTGACACACCGGGCGCAGAGCGCATGCGTTAGGCTGTGCAAGCCCAGCAGCGCTTATGCAGGAACCTCCTTCCTATCGATAGGCTATATCGATAGCGCAGGGCTGGTTGACAGTCGAGTCGCCTCGACTCGTATTGGATGCGTGTTAGTGTGCCAGCGAATGAGGTGCCTCACCGTGGAGAATCAGTTCTCTTGTTGCTGGCACAAAATCGGGGAGGCAGATCTCGAGCGCAATGTCTTCAGGCGCATACGATGGGAGTTCTCGTTGTGATGGTGTGACGTCGGTGGAAGCGTCACAGCTGCGTTATCTGTTCATCGGCAGACAGAAGAAAACAAAGACGTTCGGAGCCCGATAGAGGGCGGGATATGTCGGTAATTATGACAAGGACCAGCCTGGCGGAGCGCTTTCGCGTGCGTACCACGTTGTCGTTGTGGTTTGACGTGGGTGTAAGGTCACCGTTGATGCGACACGACACCTTGTCCATGAACATCGGGAATAATCTTATCGTGACTTGTAATTCTGTCGACGCCCCATAACGCTGGGAACATAACAATGGATAACACTGGTGTGCTAAGCTGAGCTGAAGTGCGTGAGCAAGGGAGCCGGCTGAGTACGAGGTCGCGCGCGGAGGGCCTGCCGTGCCACATCGGTTGGTATTTTTGCATCGGACCGCCTCAGTGTTGACTCGTCGATACGAGAAAGCCTCGTCAGCATCGCATACGCCCTCTCGGCTTACCTCCAGTCCTCAGCCCCTTTGGGTTGCGAGCCCGAACACGGTAACGCTCAACAAACAGGACGATGGTCGCCGGGATGAGGGCCTCGTCATCGCTCGATAGAACTGGTCAGACTCCCGCAGAGGCGATCACACTTTCGGAAATGAGAGCGTCTGCGTCTAGAATACTCGATCAACCCGCGCGGTCTTTGCGCTCGGCCCCACCCCTTACGATGCCGCGAGTACCAAGACTTGTGAAGGATCTGTGGTCCTGTCGCTATGTGGGACCAACGCACACCACACAGCGAACGTTGATAACATTCACGTGGGCGACATGTCTGACAGGATGACTTTCACGTCTATCGATAGAGCAGCTTGCAGACGCAAAAAGCAGATCTGACACCGAAACCGACGCAAACGGTATACGGCCCCTGCTGGCATGCGTCGGTGAGCGGGTGTACCTGAATGTGGCGGCTACGTGAAACGCACGGCGCCATGCGGTAGCTAATCAAGACGGACCACGACCTTAGCGGCTCAGGCCTCTTCTGAGCTGTGAATGGCCAAGTAGGTTATTTCCACCTGAACCCCTGGCTTACCCGCTTGCGCAGAGCCTGAAGGTGTGAAAGGTTCTAGCCAGGCGCATGTGCGAAAGGATCGAGCGCCCGGATTCCCCGCGAAAAATATATCAAGTTGAAAATCACCCGCCCTCCCCGTTCTTTTTGTCACATCCTGATCCTCAGACTCACACCAAACACGGTCGTTGCCTGTCCACTCCTTTGAGCATTTCTGCTCGGTACATTCTCTTGTCGCTCTCTGACTACCACGTTCATTGTTCGACTGTCCAACGATTTCGCGCTCAGGTTAGCCGCATCTGCTTTTACTCATCGATACCCTACAAGCAAAGCGTAACGCACATCCTTAACCTGCAATCTACACCGAACATCGACATGTCTGCCTCTGTCAAGTTTACCGGCCTTTTGGCCCTCGCCTCCGCTGTTGCGGCTGTTCCCCACTACCAGCACGAGAAGTTCCACCACAGGGCTGCTTACCCTGTCAACGGATGGGGTAACTCAAACACCACTGCCATGGCTCAGGCTACCGGTACTGGTGCCTACCCCGGTGAACAGACTACCACCATCGACACCACTTCGACCTCGACCTACACTCAGTACGAGACCGTCTACCAGAAGCCTTCCGGTCTTGCGGGAGGCAACAAGCAGGTCGAGGCCGCTGATGCCTCGACTGGTGTCTGTGGCGCCACCGTCACTGTGACTGCTTCCGAGAAGGTCACTGTCACCGTCACTCCCGGAGGCGGTGCTGCTGTCCCCACCTCATCTGCCGCTGGTACTGGATACGGAGTCCCTTCTTCAGTCATGCCCGTCGCTGAGTCAAGCTCCACGGCCGCTGAGTACCCTGCCGCTCCTCCTGCCGACAAGCCCACTTCCTCCGCTGCTCAGAGCACCGTCGAGACTCCCGTAGCTGAGGCCACAACCTCTCCCGCTGCCGAGTACCCTGCCGCTCCTCCTGCTGCTTCGTCTTCCAAGGCCGAGTACCCTGCCGTTCCTGAGGCCCCCACCTCCAAGACCCCCGAGATCACCGCATCCGCTCCCCAGAAGCCCGTCGAGTCGGCCACCTCCGTCGCTTCTTCCGCTGCTCCTTCCCCCACTGCTGGCAACAGCTACAGCGGCGTCAAGCGCGGTCTCGCCTACAACGAGGCTCACCTCTGCACCACCTTCGGCAGCAAGTTCGGCTTCGGTTACAACTGGGGACAAGTTGAGAGCAACGACATCGGCACCTCCTTCGTCCCCATGATGCACGGTCCTAGCAAGTCTTCCGCCGACGAGTGGCTCGCCAACGTCGACACGGCCGTCAAGAAGGGTTCCACCGCCGTCATGGGATTCAACGAGTGCGACCACACTTCGCAGTGCAACCTCAGCCCCGAAGCCGCCTGCACCGCCTGGAAGGAATACATGAACCCCGTCAAGGCCGCCCACCCCGAGGTCACCATTGTCGGACCCTCCGTTACCAACGGTAAGTTTTGGCTATACGAATTGCACGTGAAACACATACTGACTTGACTTAAAAGGCCCTGCCCCGATGGGATTGGACTGGCTCAGCCGCTTCAACGACTGCTGCCCCGACGCCCACGTCGACGCAACCAACATCCACTTCTACGACATCTACGACGAGCAGACCATCGACCGCTTCCAAGCCCAGGTCGAGAAGGCCGCCGACATGGGCGGCAAGAAGGTCTGGATCACAGAGTTCGGTCTCAACCCCGGCAGCGCCTCCGAGGAGCAAGCCGCCAGCTTCCTCAAGGACGCCATGGCGTACCTCGACGGCTCCGACAAGGTCCAGGGTTACTCCTGGTTCATGGTCGGTGACGGTGAGAACCAGCTTAACTCTGGCAGCGGCCTCTCGGCTGTTGGCAAGGTCTACGCTGGTGCCGCTTAAAGCACCTAACTTCCTCTCTCTCGTCTCTTTTTAAGTAAGACGGATGGGTTAGGCGTTTTTGTGTGTGGTTAAAAGACTTCTTCTCTGTTTGTTGTGTGTGTGTATATTTTTTGGGTATATCCTTGGGATCAGGCTTTGTTCTCTGGGGAGCTTCATGGCATAGAACGAGCGTATGCGCACTCTGATGCAAAACGATCGCTTCAGCATATTGCTTTTTTGTTTAACTTCTAGTTACAGTTGTGTTTGAGGGGGTGTGGTGGATTGGTGTAGCGATATATGTGATGAATAGAAGACTGTTGATTTCAATTCTTGTCCCTTGCATTCTGTGACTTGCTGAAAGCTGACGCGGAGATGTTTGGTCAGAGAGAAGCAGTCACTGACGTAAGCCCCAATGATGCTGTTGCCATATTCCTTCTTCTTTGTACTACCCAACGAAGCACTGATGCATCAATTTTAATCTCACGTCTTGTTCTAATTACGTAGAGATTATGCAGTCAGCTTGAGACTACCACATTGACGTACACATGCGGAGTCTTGCAAGGCCAACCATGTCCTTCCTAACACGCGTACCCCTTGGTATCAACCGCGACGATGCTCCCTGGCACCACAACACTCCCATTGACAGGCATCGCCAAACCTCCAGCAGTGCTCACGTATAGCACATCCCAATCCCTGTCTGTTCTCCCAAACGCTGCCGCGGTGTCCCCTGCGAACGTCACTAACCCTTTTGCACCTGCCACCACCTCCATCTTCTTCCCACCTGGACTCACAGCAATAACTGTGTTCTCGTAGTTACTCACGGCCCACAACGTGCCATCCGGACCAAACGTGAAGTCATCTACAAAGTCGGCCACCGCAGTTAGATTGGCGTATAGTTCCACACTCCCCTTGGGGCTACGCGGTATGTACCCTCTTGAAGTGATGGGAACGCGGTATATGGCAATGAGATCCGAATTACTGAAGTACACCCACCCATCGCGTATCTTGATACCATTGGCACCGAATCCCACCGTGGCATTGTGCAGGTCCGGGTAAGGCTTGAATTCTGGTCCATCGGCGATGATATCGCTTGTCCCAGTCTTCGTGTCGAGACGGAAGAGAAGGCCGTATTGAGAATCTACTATTATGACAATCGAAGGATCGGACGGCAGTGCGGCGGCGCCGTTCAGTAGTTTTGCCTGAGGTACGTTGGCGATTTTGTGGACTGTGGGCGTGGAGATAATCGGAGAGACGAAGGTGGCTTGCCAAACGGACCAGGTACCGGCGTAACCAGTCGAGTTGGTTGTAGCGTTTCCAGCGATGATGGCGTATGTGTCTGGGACTGTTTCTGTGATTCCAAGGAGATCGGTGACGTTGGTGGCACGGAATTCGTGGATGGGTTCTAGGGTTGCGTTGCCTGAGGCCGGATTCTGGATGGTATAAAGTATGGGGATTGGAGCTAGTTGGGTGACGAGTAAATCGCCATTTGGCCGGACGGCAATGTTTTCCAGCCAGGTTGGGACTGTTGAAAGTTGAGCTACTGTTCTGGCTGAAAGAGGAAGGGCAGGACCAGGGAGAGGTGAGGATAATGTGCCGAGACCTAAGAGGGCGAAAGACAGTAGGGAAGCCATTCTCCTAGGAGACATTGCGCTGTGCTATGAAATGGCCTGGTAGTCGTCTCTTGTGGTGTAATTAGCGAGTTGCATGGGGGCACTTTCAACTGCCATGTAAATATATGTCCTTGGAAACTGTTGGATGCATCGTCATGATGGGCATCTCGTACCTAGTTAGTGATCATCTTGATGCCTTTAGTGATAGGTATGTCAGCATGCTTTAACTGTGCACAGTTCATGTCCCTCCACCTTTGTAGATTGGCGTTGAACTAAAGACCTTACACATCGCCATGAAGCGTTATTCAGCACACGACTGCGGTTGATTGGACCCGTCTCGTACAACGACTCCACTCGTCAACGCAGCCGACCGGGTGTTAGCCTAGCGTTAACACTGTAGTAAATCCATGGATATCAGAGGTACACTTGCCGTGCGTTGCCGTTCGGAAAGATGCAGATAGGAGGTGTCATGAGGAAGGCGCGACTGAGAGCATCCTATGACAAAGTCTTGGAAGCGTGCTTTGCCATCCCACGTGTGCTGTACCAAATCAATCGTCATGACGCCATGCAGGTTCTCTGGCGACTTCCGATCTGCCAGTGTCTCGTTAGCCATATTTTCTTGCGACCGCAGCTGCCTGTATCGACCAATCTTGAATTCCGAATTATAGAAATGTATCCAGTGCCAATCGCCTATCGATAACGCTCCTTCGACTGGACTGCTTGCGCCTAACGATGATGATTTCCACAAGTACCGGATGTCCAGTTATTCTGCGCATTCTCTTTAAACACCCATGGCAAGCACATGTTGCCTACGCCAATCTTACACGAGGTATAAAAGTACAGTAACGCCGTCCATACGCCTGCGATGGAGGTTGCTAGCCCGCCCTTATTGGTTCTCCTGCTTGGTTTGTTGTTGCTGTTGTGATTGCTGCATGCCTTGTTGCATCGCATTCTGCCCCCAATTTTGCTGCAGGCCTGCACTATTCGGTGGTTGTGACGCATTCGAGTTCATCCGTTGCGGCCCGGGCGACTGCTTCATTTGAGGAGTTTGCCCCTTCCATCCTGGGAATAGCTCCTGCAGCTTGGTATATAGCTTGACGAGCTCGGCGGGTGAGGCGGGTATCGACATGATGGCGGGCCCCGGTTGTATTTGTTGGCCAGGCTTGGGCACCTTCTCAGCATTCTGAGCGAGGTAGGCGAGGTTTGCCTGGAGGCGGCGCATGTAGCTGGGCTTGTTAGCTGACGTCGCGCAAGGGATGCGCAGCACTCACTCTACGTATTCCTTGGATGGCTGCGGTTTGTCGCCTTCGGGCTTCCCTTCTGGTGTAGGCCCTACTTGGCCTGCCTTGCCCTGCGTCTGGAGCTCGCAAACTTCTTTGATGAGGATGCTGTTGATGTCGAGGAGGGTTGCGACTCGATCTGCATTACGCGCCGGGTTGGCGGGCGACACTGGCGACGGGGGCACCTGCTTCACGGGCGTCTGGACCTGGGGCGGCTCCGCCTTGACGGGCAGCTGGAGGTTCATGGGGGTCTGCTGGCCGTTGGTCTGCATGCTGCTGGGCGAGGGCTGTGGCTGCGGTGTCGGATAGGGTGCCTGGCCAGTGGTGCTGGCAGGGGAGGCCGTCTGGCGGTTCTGGGCAAACTGGTGGTGGGCAGGCGAGGGCATCGTCTGCGCATAGGGCGCGTTCGAGTAGGGGCTCGGCGACGACAGCTGGTGTTGTTGTTGCTGCGCCTGCTGTTGCTGCTGTTGCGCCTGCTGCATGGCGGCTGCTCCATGGTGTCATGTCAGCCAGGCTGCGAGGAACGCGCCCACGGGCGGCGATAGGGCAGGACAAGAAACGCGCACGTCACTGGCTTACCTCGCTGCTGGAGATACGGGGCTCCTGGCTGAATGCCATTACTCCCCATGGCGCCACCCATGCCCGGGAACGACGGGGACTGTCCGTACTGCCCATGTGGGTTGGCTTGCTGCTGGAGCCGCGCCTGTGCATCGAATTGGGCGTGTTGCGGGGAATTGGCGAACTGGCCGCCATACGCATTAGGGTTATTGAAATCCATTATCGGCACTCATTGGCCACGTCGCACAACTCGGTTTAGATTGATCGGTGGGTTGATCCGTTGATGGGAGAAAACGTGCGGTTCGTGATAAGCTTGGGTTTCGGCTCTAGAAGCTTTGCAACCCCAGCTCAGGCCAGCCGAGCGAGTCAAGTTGGCCGTCCTCGCCCTCTTTGTTCCAGCGCGGCCACTTCCCTCGAGCGCACCCAACATCGTCAAAGGAATTCCAGAATACATCAAATCCCGCATGGCGCCCTACTGGACCAGCGTGCAAGCATGTCCTAATGCAGTGCCTTTAGCAACCTCACACCTCCAGCATCCCTGTCACATGGGCCCACAAAAATGCTTGACATATCTCCCGAACATGGGACGAGACGCTTCCAGATCCGTCACCAGGTACCACGGCCTGCCATTAATACCGGGTCTGAGGCTCTTATCCGCCAACTAGATGAACCGCCGCCACCTGCATATGCCATGTGACTGACTCTTGGGAAGACTCGGCCATGTTGGCATCGAGGCATCTCGAGGCAGCACGCGCCCTCATCCTCCAGGACCGACGCACGCACTTGTTACCTGTTTCTCTCATGCACTTCTGAAAACGCCACGTTGTATTCAAGTTGAGCTTGGCAATCGAGTGTAACTACATCATAGGCTCCCATGCTGCCACTTCTAAGCGAGCTCTAGCTCATCACGCGGTGTGTGGATGGGTTTCTTAACCGGGATCTAACCTCTCAACGCTCCTTCGGTGTGTGTGATACATCCATGTGGCTGCATGACGTCGGAATGTGGGCGCCGATGAGTATAGTCCTTGTCTCAATAGCAAAACGTGCTCAAGAGCTCCTTGGGATCTGCACCTCTCGGGCCGAAGTAAGATGCAGAGATACAGTAGTAATAAGCACTTCGTAAGGCGGTGTCTCCCTGATTATTCTCCAAAGACCTCCTCCTTCGTCGGTTTCTCTTTGCGGCGCAGTGCCACAAAGTACGCCTCTTTAGATTCCTGGAGCCAGTCAGCGTGGAACATCAACTGTGCGGAAAAACCTACAGCGCGAGAAGATTCCGGCTTCTCCCTGTACACCTTGGCGAAGAGACGCTTCAGCTTTGTCTCGAATGCCTTTTCCTCCGATCCTTTGTAGTACTTGCAGAGGAAGTGGCCGCCAGTCTTGAGCGTATCGAAAGCGAATGTCAGGGCGGCCATGCACAAGTCCTACGAAATTTAGTAAAATCAAGAGTGATCGGCGGACTACCCACCATGCTGCCTGCGTGGTCTCTGAAAGCATTTCCGCTGGTGTTCATCATCCTAAAATATGGGTCACTAAGGCTCTTCTTGTAGAAGCCGGCCGTTTGGTCCCAGGGTTCTGACATGTCGCTGAGCACCACGTCTACTGCTCTGCCCTGCTGCATATCTCTCTCCTTCAACGAGAGCCTAGTTGGAGCAGCTTGTTCGCTGCCACTGTCCTCTGCTGATCGTCCAATCGGTTCGAGTTCTACGCCCTCCAGATGAGCATGTCGTTCGATGTCAATGTATCCTCGTTCCATGTCGTCCAGCTCTTCTTCAGTAAGTCCCTCGCTGGCTTTAGCAGAAACCTGTCTTCTGGGTCTGCCCAGGTCCGGATCTCGCACATAGGCTCGAACCTCGTCTTGAATTACAGGTGATAGAAAGTCGCCTTGTATGGTGGAGACACCTCGCGGGGGTTGTGCGGGTATCAAGTCAATACCTATGACACGACCCTCTGGAGCAGTACGGTCTGCAGCAACCTGGAGACATTAAGATGCTGTAGTTTGTGTAGATGGATCTGGCAAACCTGGGACCATGATCCTGGTGCAAAACCCTGGGGTCCTTTAGCATCGTGTTTTCAGTGAAGGCGACAAACATACGAGATCGACGACAGTCTGCCCGGGTTGGAAAAGCTTGTGCTTGGTGTTAAGCTGTGGCACGTTAGTCAGTGCGCAGTCACAGACCGAGGCGCAATTACTTCAAGCAGCTTGAATGCAGCGCGACTCTTCAAGCCTTGCACTTTGGCTTCTTTGGCGAAGAAGTCCCTGCCTTGGCGTGACTTCCATCTCGTTGAAGATGAGGATGCACGCCGATCTGAGAGCCTGTGACTGGATTGGTGAGAGTCACAAGTCGCGTGTCTCAAGGCAAAACACGCTGGCGCTACTGGATGATGGGTAGACTCCAGTAGCAAGCTATCTGTGAGCTGCCGAAATACACGACGTGATAGCATAGGGAAGGTGCAACTGTTGTGCGTCGCCTTCGCCTTCGCAGAACTTATATACTCTTATCGATAACGTACGTCAACGATTTCGACATGTCGCCCTAGGCTCACGACCTTCACAAACACTCGCGATAGAAAGGACGATGGCTAGGGAAACTACATACTGCAAGCGACCTAGGCTTGACTTGAAGAACAGTCACTGTGCTCGCGATAGCTCACCATCTCGGACTGGAGATGCGAGGTCATCTCCGAGATATTATCGTCTTCGACCTCGGAACGCCGAATCGACCATTACGATGTGTCAACGTCCACGGCCGACGTTTGTACCCCGCTGTTCTCCAGAGTCTAGTGAGCACGCGATCTCAGTTGGGTGTGGGGTCGTGTGCTCATCGGTGCGTACGTTTTGGATGCATTCGCTATCTGGTGATGGAGAGCCCGGGCGGTACCATTCCGCATGTGACGACACCCATCCAAGTCAGATACAGTCTATCAAGATCATGAGCAGCAAAACTCTAAAACAGCATCCTATAGTGTTTCCAACAACGGCTGACGCAGAAGGAGTGACAGTGCGCAGCTGACTGCGTCGTCTAGTAAGGGGTGACTGAGGCGCAACGCCAGTTTGCGTGCATCTGCCCTGGTGTTCCCCTGACGTGTTGCCATGATGCGCGTCGAATCATGGCGGCTCGCAGTCAGCCCCGTCAAGGGGCTGATGCCGGAGGGAGACGACAGGTGTCAACCAGAGCCAAGTATCAGATCGCGAGTACC